GAGATACTTGTCAAAATATTTTGGTTATTGTATGGGCTCAACAGAACTGCAGCATATGGACCAACAGTTAGAAATCAGTGAAGGACAAACAAAAAAAATAAGTATGAGGATCCGTTTAAAAACCATATCCATTTACCATAGATAAATTACTCATTGATATATATTTTGATAGCTTCGAAAATATAAAAATTGTACTAATTGTTTACAAACATAAAATTACCTTGAATTATTCAAGCCAAGTATAATATTTAAAACAATAACAATATTGATACTATCGAAACCACTGGTTGTTGTAAATTGTTAGAATTTAATTATAGTATAACTAAAATATAAAATATTCAGCATCAATATAGTAATGATTTGACCACATTTAAATAAATAATTAAAAATAAATAAGCAAAGCATAATGAAAACAACCTATACAGGTAGTAAATCTGTTATAATGTCAAAGATTTATATACAACAAATATAGAAATACACTTTATTAAATAAAAAATTATATCGTAATAAATATTATAGAAGGAAATTCCAAAAATATTATATAGGAAATTTTGTTATCACTAAGTTATGATAAGATTTAAGTAATTTTATTAATTACTTCTTCAATCAATAGAAGATCTGATGATTTGATAAGCAGAATTTTCTGAGTTAGAAAGACACAAGTTACTTCATTATTCAGACAAATTTCAATATTTAGATTTTTAATTAATTTTTTATCTAGGCTATTGACCATCACTGTTTGTGTCTGAACATATGGGGATGATTTTTCAATAGCTTTTGACTTTTAAAAGTGTTTGTCACAATAGTGACATCATCCTGACAATAGGGTTCTTGAAATTTATTGGAATCAGTGTTGCGGTCAGGACCAGCTTTTGTGTTTCGAAAACGTGTTTTTGGTATATTCAACAAGGCATTATTTATCTCATGAATAAGATCAAAGTTTGCTAAAATCAAGCATAGCAAAAAGCGTGAATTATGAAGAATTAAATTGTACTTAGAAAGTATTTTGTTACTTATGTATTTCGAATTGCAAATGGATAAACTACACCAAGCTGCACAAGTAACACATTTACAAATTTTGCAGAGAATTAATAACTGTTATAGTTATTCTTTATATTTATATTTATATATAAAAATGAAACTCGACATCATGTTAGGTATACTAAACATTATATTGGATGTCCGGATTTGGCAATTCTTAGTCTTAAAAAATTCGTGCTAATTCAGAGGTTGGAAAAGGTGAAATATTATTTCAAACTCGTATATAAACATTACATTTTTAATTTAAAATTCAAAAATTTCTGTAGAAGCGTAATTTAGAATAAAACAATTGACGGCGACTCATACGTCAAATGTCGGATGATTTTGACAGATGATTTTCAATTACATTTAATAGGATGTTTTAGATGAATATTATTTAATTGTAGTAAGTAGTTCTTTGTACACAAAAACATTATTGGCCGGTTCGCAAGTGTTATCAGAAACTCAAAATGTAAACTTTTTGGAAATGTTAATATAAAAATACAGTATTTGGCTTTATGGGCACCCTTTTTTGCAAATCATATTTTATTCAAACTCATTTATATAATTTTATACTGATTTGTATTTATAAAACATTTTCTAGATCATTAGGTTAAGATCTCAAATTTGGAATCGATCGAAGGAGACATTTTGTCAAATAATTTATTTCGAGTATCAGATTCGGCTGATAATACAAATATTAACTTTGGAAAACACAATCTCTTTGCGTTTATTATATACCTTTCGAAACTCTAAACTTGAGATCAGACAAAAAATTGTTATTAAAAACATCAGAAGATAACAGAAGAAGTTTCAATTTTTCTATGTGGAATTGTAAAGATAAATGTTATGGTTCATGTAGAATTTAGAAAGACAATTTGATTAAAAACAAAAATGCATTACTTCATTTTCACGTTCTCCTAATAAAGAACTCTATTATCCTCCAAAGAACAGTTATTGGCTTTTGTAGACTCCGATAATAAATGTAACTAATTCAGAATAAAGTAAGTGTTAAATTTTTATATTTTCTGTTTACGTGCATGCACTATTGCGTTTTCTCTATGAACCGTTTGTTTAATGTTGGTTTTCGAATTCAAAACATGGTCAATTATAATATGGACCACATATTGAGATCTTCTATTCTCACGGTAATATACTTGTATATTGTAAAAGAAAATCGGTGTAGCAATTAGATTAGAAGATGTATAAATAATAAATTTGAACAAATGTGAAGTACTCACAGTTTGGGTTTAAATTCGACCTAAAAAATTATGTCAATATAATTTTTATTAGTGTATGTAAAATCCAAAACAAAATCGTATCTCAAAATATAAAAATATTGAAAACCATTACTGCATTAATATTGATTTTATTCTAACTTTCTAAAGGAGAAGACGATAGGATTCATGGTCTTGACGAATATTCTAAAATATTGTAACCCTAGGAAAAGTGTTTTAATCATAAAAAATCATCTAAAGGAACATCTGGTCGAGTTCTCATACAGAATTTTCACCCAGGCATTTCAATAATTTTGATGCCATTTTATAGGTCTTTTCGAAAAAACCCAAATAACCAAATTCCAACTCCATATCATTGATAGAAAGTAATATCATTAAAAATATGCGAAAGTAGCCCCTCTTTTTAAAGTCACTTTTTGTAGCCATTGTAAAAGTTATCAACTAACAAATGATGCGATTCTATTCAGATTGCAGTCGACTTTATTAATAATAAAAAATATTGTTCAACAAATATTTGTTTATAAAAAACATATAACTATATTTATTCATTATTTCGTGCGTTTTAAACTTCAATAAAAAAATTTCAAGCTTTTTTTTATTAATATTATTTTAGTATATTCTTTCGAACTAAAAATAATATTAATGTATATGAATTTCTAAAAAATTTGAAACTTTCGCTACGTTTTAAAAATAAACAATTTAAAATATTTTTATCTATTGCACTTTTGGGTTAAAATAACACGTGTATCGTGGAATATGCCACTCAATGTCACTTAAATTTTCGTAATAAAAAATTTACATATTCAACTATTTCAAAAATTAATTCGTATGTTAATTGAGTGGCTCTTGAAAATTCAGAGAACATAAGTGCGCTTTAGGTGCTGAATATTTAAAACTTCTTCAAACAGAAATCTTGATATGGTATTATATTATTTTATAGGATACAAGGTGTTCTAAAAATGCTATAAGCTGAAAAGTAATGAAAGATGGTAGATAGAGATACCATAGTCTTATAGATCATACTAAAATATTACGGTATTACAACAAGACGTTTAAAAATTCGTCAAAGTTTGCAAAAATTGTCAATATTAGACCTTTCATCAACGTTTGCTCAAAAACGCCTGAACCCATTTCAGAAATTTAAAAGCCATTTGATATACCTCAATGAAGGCATCAAATATATTGTTTGTCAGTTTTGTGCGACGATTTGCCAAGCCGTTTCTCTGCAATTTGGAAAAAAGTGGTAAACTTTTCGTCCGCATTTAAGCTCATAATACCAAATCGATTTTAAAAAATCAAAAACTGTTCGGAAGATATTAGTTGGGTATGATTAGTAAACTTAAAACTGATTAGTTTAAGGTGAAAATCTATCGAGCCGTTTTCTTGTGATTAACTGTTGAAAAAAAAATTTAAGCCAATTTTTATGGAACTTTTTTTTGCGATATGTATCATGGTCTTATAGAACCTACTGAAATATTACGGCCTTACGACAAGTAGTTTAATTTTAGAACTTCATCGAAATTTGAGAAAATGAGTAGTTTTTTTGACGTTTGTTAAAATTAAAATTGAACGATTTACTTGGTATAACCATGAAGTACTTGGTCTTAATGAACATACTAAACCATTAATGTCCTACGCAAACTGGTTCAATTATAAGAATTGTTGATTTGTGAAAATTTACTTTTAGAAAATACTCCGAATTAACGTGTTCATTCGTTTTTAATTATGTGTAATAAATCCACTCGGAATACTTTTGATCACTCATAAAATAATTTATTTTTTATTGATTAAGTCGATTATTTGCACATAAAATTCATGTAACTTGCCCCAAGGCATAATACCAATACCAACTAGTTTGATATATTCTTATTTTGATATTATAATTTCTACTTGTTGGTAGTTAATTACTCGGTTAATGAAATAAAGAACAATATCCAGCATTTGACTTATAAAATCAGTGTCTCGCAATTAAAGTGAAGTAAATCAAGTGCAAAGTGAGGAACTTTGAAGGATCAAAAAGAATTGTCACCAATGAATTAAAATATTTAAAAATAAATTCATTAATAAATAATATTTCTACTTTTGTATATCGAAAAACTCTGTGGGTTATTGCATTAGTTTCGTAGAAACTCGTCTCGACAAGATTCGGCGTTTCGATAAAAATATCGATATCGTATCAAAAGATGACCAAAAAGACATTTCGTAATCCAATTAAAATATGCAGTGTTCGATTTCGAGAAGACGAAAATTCGAATGCCGGGATACTGTTACACTTCTCATATGTAGGTATAAATATATCTACAGAATTTTTTTCAACCGAACGGCGCGGCGAGCGCATCGTTAATGCATATTTATTCGTCACATAAGTTAATAAATAGATGGAACGCTAGTAAGCAATTTACTCAAATCGGGTACAACCAATAAATTATAAAATTTTTAGAGAAAATTAGAAAAAGTCTCAAAGAATTAGTACCTACTTTTAAAAGTTTCAGTGAAACTCATATACATTAACACATTTCATACATTTAAAAAGTGTCGCTTCATTAAAGGCATCCGCGTTTCAAGGAAAATATTTCTGAATTAACGAAAAAGCAGCATATATAATAATACTTTTTTTATTTATATATAAATATAATATAATATTTTAATATAATATTATATATGTATGCATATTATATATATATATATATATATATATATATATTATTTAACTTAAACAAAATAATAATGTAATGTACTTACCTTGAATGGACTGTGATTTTATCTTTAAGTCCTGCTTTTTCAAATGATATGTGAGAAATCGGAAAATCACCATGTTGTATTCATCTGTAAACAAAACATATTTTTATTATTCACAATGATATTGAAAATTACATTGATAATTTAGAACAGTATTTTTACACGTTTTTATATTATAAATATATTATTTACAAAATGTTGAAAATTAGTCTGTGAGTGTTACTTAAGTCTTTGACTTAAAATACTCGAAATTCGCATTTGTTTTAAAACGTTCTACAAATTCCAGTTTGATTCAACTGAAAGTTCGTAAATGATAAAAGCAAAAATTATAATTTTTGTATAATAATATCTTATGCTTAATGATGTAATAATAGATATGAAATTGAATATCAAAATTTCAGATTAATAATTTTTGCTTTTCAAATTCTAATGTTCATTAGATTTCCAAGATTTTTTGCGTAAGGTACATAACCCTTTCGTTTAGAAGTAATTTCAATCTATAATTACCAAATTAAATCATTAATATATCTTAAACAATTTGCTTTGGACAGAAAACTTCAGTTGGTAGTAGAGTTTATTACAAATGATTTATTGATTTAATGGAAAAGATTCAAAATTTAATGGTAGTACTAATAACCCTATTTTCATCGATAGATCTATTAATAAGTTATAACACAAATTTATATGAATTTTGCGGACAAAGCGGCGGCATCCGAGTGGAAAGGGTTAAAATCATTTTGAAATATTTGGAACCTTAGAAAGTTTCAATTTATACTTGAATTATATTCTGTAAAAAACATTAATAAAACATCGTAAAATCTCTTAAAAATTATATAAGTACAAGTCCAAAATTGGAATTATATTACTTCTTATTACATCTATTTTTATATTTTAGGAGATTTTTATATTTGACTGTAACCGATAAAATATGATAAAAGCTGACTAATTGAAATAAGTTTAATTTAATGTTTGAAGCTAAGAAAAATACATGAATACTAGATGTATTCATTATAAAAGGATAACATATAATTTTTACGACTTGTTATGAGCATATTTTTATAAATAATCTAAATAACAATTAATATTATAAATATCATAACAAGAAAAAAAGAAAAAGAAAAAAATGCAATATAAAAAACCTTTCATTTGACAGTGTAAAATATATTGCATATAAAAGCTATGCTTACTACTAATAAATAATAAAGCATTTTAAATTATTAAAAAAATTACACCCAAAGATATACTGTTTGAGTTGATAATTAAAATCAATGTAATAGAGTTTTATAGCTATTGGCTCATTATACAGTGAACAATAAAAAATAAAGAGAATAAATAAAAAATTATACAAAAAATTTAAATAAGCAGAACTATAATTAGAAGCTTGAGCTTTAGTTATATAAGAGAGAAAATCGACTTTGTGTATCTCATTACAACATTTACTAAAGCAATCTATTAAAACGATCTATTTTATATCTAAAATAGATGCTATAAAAATATAATACAATAACATATCAATATTATTCTAGTCCTTCCGAATTTATTAGAATTTTTTTGTATCTTTTACCCCAGCCCTCCCTCTACAAGAAAACCCTGAACGAAACCATAACATAAATTCATAAAACATATTACTGGAATAAAGAATAATATCAAAGTGTCGCCAAACCCGAAATATTTTTGGCCAGAAAATGAATCGAATTTGCTGTAAGTTATTACAGGAGAAATAATGAACGCTGTAAATATTCTACTGTGCAGAAATATTTTCATAAATTTAGTAATATGTGTCGACGATATATATTTGGTTGAAAACTGGTTGACATTATTGCATGTTATAAGGAATTCACATTTGTTATTACAAGGTGCTGAAATAAATCAATATTTTTGGACTTAGTTAGAAAGCTAAGTTATTACAATTATCGTTATCAGTTTTTTTTAGAGTTGTCGCTCCCAGAATATCGATCATTTAGCAGCTAAATTTTAGCTAGATACAAAATTATATTTTAACATGATAATATAATAATTATAAATTTATCTTATGCATTTATGATTTCATATAATGTGATATTGTTTTGTGTTTTAATGTGAAACTTAAACTAGTAATTTAGAGAATAATTATAATTTCCTTTTATAGAGCCTTCTGTAAAATACCAGTTTTTTATCTTAATGAAAATATATGAGATAAACTTAAATTATTAACAAATCCGATGTGATCAAGTTTAAACTCTCTAAATAATTTTGAATAATTTATAAAGTAACTGCTAAAACAGATAGAAGTTAATAAAATTTATATATATATATATTGATATGCATAAACAGGGTGCTCCAGAACTCAACGTCAAGCCAAAACGAGGCGGTTGTATTCGTTAGGCATAGTTTGAAATTTATGAGCTCTTAAGCGCAACCCAGAACATTAGTCAAACTGTAATAATTTCTTGATTATTGTGGTTAATTTTTAGTATTTTTATTTATTTAAACTTTGGATTCGTTACCAAGATTACCATATCCAGGTCCACAGCTAAAAATACACAATTGCTCCAACTTTTAATTAAGACTATGTTATAAAATGAATTTAAAGTTTTCAAAATTGATCGATTTTGAAAGGTCTTCATTGAAAAAAATTCAGAACATTGAATTCAAAAACAGAAGTGTATGAGCAAGTTGCTTCAAAAGTTGACGCATTTGAGCAGATTTTAAAATAGTAAAATGTTTGATAGTTTTATATTGAAATATTTGAGTAAAAAATTCCAAACCGAAAAAGGACAGCATTAGTATAATTGATTTAAAAAAAATTATAATAATTTCAGAATTATTTATTATTAATTAGAAATATATTTAGAAATTTCACGATTGTAATAAATAGTTATAGACACAAATATAGATCTTTTAATATTGCCTATGGCAATCATAATATTTGATAAATCATTATACTTATCATTACTCATATGGTTTTCATTATTGTATTATACTATACTTAGAACTTGAAAAAGGGAGTAAAATCTATATTTTCTCTTTAAACTATAAAAACTCACTATTGATTCAAATAAGAATTTTCTCATTGAGAATAATTAAAAACGTTTTTGCTGTAATTTGATAATGAATTTTTTAACTTTCCTAAGAAGGAGTTTATTTTCTCACAAGAAAATTCTAATTCTAACAAATAGTTATGTTTTCACGACGGTTTATATCATTTTGAATCGTTTGACACAAAAGCTTGACTTTTTGCTAATAATTTCTCAAAAATAGCTGCACCGAATTCAGAAATGGGTGTGTGTGTATGTATATGTAAATATTAAGCACATATACCTAACCCCAATATAACATAAACGATACTATTATCTCCATGAACATTGTTTATTTTTATAATTTATTGTCGATCATTTTCAATTTTGATTCTTTCCTTTTATTCAACGGCTGCACGAACACATTTGATTCGATCGTTAGACTTTATATGATGCTTAATAGTTAACGGTTGAAATGGATAATGTGGCCATGTTTTTCCTCCCTCTTTTATACCCTATTTATTTCGAAATTGTCACCCTTATAAACGTAAGGGTGGATTTGGCAAACCAATCTGGAAACCGCAAGGCAAAGCCACGCCTGCTTTGCAATGATTGCCAAGTTGGTAGTATTACCGTACATTTTGCAATTGAATTGAATTTCAAATATTGATAAGTTATTTTTATAATAACTTTAGATTAGATTGTTATACATATATAGTTTTCATTCAAAAATATTCGATATATAAAAGAAATATTCACAGAAAATACCTACAGATTTTTGGTAAAAAGTAGTCAGACTGAAGTTGAGATTTTAAAGCATAGGTATGAGATTACCAGCATTTTTAGAAAAAAAATTATAGAACAAAAAAATGTTATCAAAATTAATGTTATCTAACTAATTAATTAAAGACATCTCCCAAAACAGAAAAGAGTGAAAATAGGATATATTATGTATCCAGAAACTGGAAACTTCTAATCTTTATTGACAATTTTTTAATTTATTGACGTCTTTATCCAGTAGGTACTACATATTATGAAAAACTCTACGAAAAATAGCGAATTATAACTTTATTTTAAATTCGACGATAACTACATGTGAATGGCATCGTGCCTTAAGGCAAATTGCTGATACTTCCCTATTTCAAATATATTATTCAAAATACTCTAAGTTTCATTACATGTATATTGTAGATAAATATAAGAGGTTACAAATTTGACGACGATGTTTTTTACATATTTAAAATAAAGGGCCTTATATCACATTTCCAATTATTTATTTAAAGTATTTAAATATGCTTTAAAATCTTAGCATAAACTAAAATAAAATCCGAATCATTTTCGATTATTGAAAAAAATTACATTACAAAAAACAAATGGAGTTTTTTAAAAGGAAAATGCCTTCCTCAAAAATTAATCGTTTCTTCACACTGTCATCACAAGCAAAATACTTTTTGAATCATTTAAATCGGATGAACCGATACATTTTTTTCTGTATCTCCCAAACGAGCGGACCTGTCTTTGCTAAAAACTAACCAGCACGTCTCGACGTCAATACAAATTAAATGTTTTTTGAATCCTTCAAATCGGTTGAACCGTGTTTTCAAAGTCTTCGACAAAAATTAATATCTGAACACACACACAAACTTACACCCATTTTTCCTAAGATATGCCAAAATGTTCAGGAGATCCTAAAACGTAAAAATATGCAAAAAAAAGTCATTTTAGACTTTTGGGCGATTACTATAACTTACCCTACGGAAAGTTAAAAAAAGTTTATTTAAAATAACTACTCAACTGCAATCAGTATCTGCACAATCTTAGTGTCCAAGTACAAACCACTTAAAAGCGCGTCTTAGACCAATTCTCAATTTAAGCAACCCAGTGCCCGATTTATGCAATACCAAATAATACAAAACAATCTGTAATAAACCATCTTTTGAGCTTCAAAGATTATCAAATTTGTTTGAAGAACCTACTCGGTAATCAAAATTCGCGAAAAAAGTATTCAAGTAAATTTGTGATTCAAACAACATCACACATTTTCCGTTTCATGAATTACTTAATAGTATGAAAAAAAACTTAAAAAAAGAC